TGTTTTATTGACTATGCAAAGGCATTCGATTGTGTGGATCATAACAAATTGTGGATAACATTGAGAAGAATGGGAGTTCCAGAACACTTCATTGTACTCATGAGGAACCTGTACATAGACTAGGAGGCTGTTGTTTGCACAGAACAAGGGGAGACTGCATGGTTTAAAAACAGGAAGGGAGTGCAACAGGGTTGTATCCTTTCACCATACTTATTCAATCTGTATGCTGAGTGTGATAGTTGGAGCTGTGTGTCAACTTGCCTGGACCACAATTCTGTGTGGTTTAAGCAGTTGTGATGTGGGTTATTCCCATGATGGGATTGAATGTTTATGTTTTGAACAGCCAATCCATTGAAAGGGAGTTTCCCTAGGGGTGTGGCCTGCTTCCAATATATTTATGGACATCCTGGGAAAAGAGACACTTTAATGTGGATCGGGATCCTGTTGTGCTGCCTACAACTGTCCATGAGCGAACAATCCACCATTTGGCCCGGAGATCTTGGATTCGTCATTTGTTGGAGTCAACAGCCCGTAATACTGCAAGTGTGTGACCCATTTTCCTAAGATAAATTTCTCTTTCTCTATCTGTATATATAAGCTTTACTGGTTTTGCTTCTCTAGAGAACCTAGCCTAACACACTGAGCAAATAATCCAAGAAACTGGACTATGTGAAGAAGAACATGACATCAGGATTGGAGGAAGACTTATTAACAACCTGTGTTAGGCAACTTTGCTCGCTGAAAGTGAGGATGACTTGAAACACTTACTGATGAAGATTGAAGAATACAGTCTGCAGTATGGATTAAACCTCAATATAAAGAAAACAAAAATCCTCACAACTGGACCAATAAGTATCACGACAGATGGAGAAAAGATTGAAGTTGTCAACAACTTCATATTACTTGGTCATACAATCAATACCAATGGAAGCAGCAGTCAAGACATCAGATGACGTATTGCATTGGGAAAATCTGTTGCAAAAGACCTTTCAAGTGCTGAAGAGTGAAGATATCTTCTTGAAGACTAAGATGAGCCTAACCCAAGCCATGATATTTTCCATTGCCTCATATGCATGTGGAGCTGGACAGTGAATAAGGAAAACCAAAGAAGAGTTGTGGTGTTGGCAAAGAATGCTGAAAGTACCATGGACTGCTAAAAGAACTAACAAATCTGTCCTGGAAGAAGTACAGCCATAATGCTCCTTGGAAGAAAGAATGATCAGACTTCGTCTCACCTACTTTGGTCATGTTGTCAGAAGGGACCATTCTCTGGAGGAGGATGCCATGCTTCGTAAAGTGGAGGGTCAAAAAAGAGGGGAATGCCCTCAATGAGATGGATTGACCTGGTGGCTGCAGCGATGGGCTCAGGTATAGTAAGAATCGTGAGGCTGGCACAGGACCGGGCAGTGTTTCGTTCTGTTGTACATAAGGTTGCTATTAGTCAGACGACTTGACGGCACATAACAACAACAACAGCATGGCTGTGTGGTTGACTTCATGTAATATAAATGTGTTTATTTACAGATATTCTTATGAAAGTCTGATTTTTACATAATCATGTGTGGTGGTTATGTTTGTGTGTCAACTTGGCTAGGCCTGGTTGAGTGGCTGGGCAGCTGGATGTAGTATTCCCCATGATGAGACTGGTAATTAACTCCATGGTGGAATCTACTGTGAGCCACTGAGTAGCTGCCTTAGGGATGTGGTCTGCTTCCTGTATATTAGGAGAA